TTAAGCAATAGATAACATTTTCCGTGTTTACATAGGCTGATACAAACACGAGAGTAGCTTGGGAGAATTCATGTCGATTTCACAATCCCGAAACGAATCTGCCTTGCTAAAGTGAAATCTTTCACTCTTGCCCTCTGCATGATGTTGGCAAGGTTACTGTCATTCTCTTCATCGCTCGAGCCATCTTAGACAAAAATGTCGTCTGCTATACGTGTTGTGAGGCCTTCAAATGAAGAGCCAAGTTGGTTATGGAATATATGGAATATATCTTGGAATACTTCGGAATACAACTAGTCCAAATGATAGTCGGTTAATGTGGAACTAGAGAGGGAATTCTCATAGGTAGTTCTCATACTCATKAATTATTCATGAGGTATCCAGCCAATCCCTGATTGTAATTTGTACCACGTGAAGTAACTTGAAACMAGAGGAAGTAATCGTACCTTTGTATTCTACCTTATTTCCAGTTACTTCTACCTTTTTCAAGTTACTTCTACATTATTTCCAGCTATTTCTACCTTATTTCCAGTTACTTCTACCATGTTTCCAACTACTACTAGCTAATGACAATCAACAAATTATCAGAAATAATCAGTTTAACATTAATAGAACGTATTCGCATAACCCACTTTTTAAATGCTAATGAGTTTTTCTAATATTCTAATGAGATTGGCACAAGAAACAAAAATGCAAAAACATGTTTGCCATTATGTTATAAGTTATGCAAGTTTGTAGTGCACGAGAGCTAGAGATCGGTGTCAAAGAGTGATCAAAACTCTACAGAAAGAATACAGAGCTCCAAAAGTGGCGCACAAAATGTTGCTGTCAGTAAGTACAATAGCCGAGCCAGTAACATATGTTGTCAACAAAACAAAGCTTAATGAAACTGAATCAAAACGAGGAGGCATCAAATCACTTCTTTACGAATCAAGAGTGAATGTTTGCTATACTGCAGAAAAAGAGAACACCTCGAAAAAAAGACAGTGCAATAGCCATGGGATCTTCTCAAATGTCCACAGAAATACAATCTAGTCTTCAAGACTTTATTAGAAACAAAATATGAAAAATGCCCTCCCGGTTTATTTATGTCATACCAGTTATCATTTGCAGAATCTAGCTTAGATTTGCCACTTTCAAATTAAACACTGTAGAGGAACATCACATGATCATTCCTGATGACCTCAGTGATACTGAACAATCGATACTTGACTTCGTCCTTAGTGTAGATGAAAAAAAAAAACATCGGTACTAGAGCAATCTACACAACAGGAAACAAAATGTTACAATTGGAAAGAAATTGTACAGCATCTTCATTTGGTCTGATAAGGAAGCATAAAAGAATTCGCAATACCTTTGCTCAAACCATAATGGAATATCAAAACATTTATGAAGTTGAAGTAAATGCCAGGAACTGTTATTCCTTCAGGGTTTGTTATTTCACATGAATATATTATACTTTGAGCTTCTCCTGATGGGAAGATTATTGATCCTGGCTGTGCAGATGTATTTAGGTAGAGATGAAATGTACATGAACTAAGGCAAATGTCACACCACTGAATCCTGCCCCTGTTCAGATCCAAATTTTTCATGGAAAATACAAGTAATAACATAAAGTAAACTAAAATCTGGCTGTTTCTTGGTGTTGCAAGGCACCAAACACTGGAAAAAATCGCACGCTTTAAAGGTTGTAAATTTGATGTAAATATGATGTAAGTGTCCAAAATTCTGTAAACTTAATGTAAATCATTTACATCAAATTTACAGAATTGTGGACACTTACATCACATTTACATCAAATTTACAACCTTCAAAGCGGGCGATTTTTTCCAGTGAAACTCACTATTCTTTGATTGTATTTTTCCTCCTAGACAAATTTTCTCTGGTGCTGAATAAGTTATCATGATTCTATATCACAAAGTGCAGGGGGTTTTTGCTTTCCTTGATTCTTTGCATGGTGTACATGATATAATGCATCTACCTCTACAACAACCACTGGGACAGTGGGTCACTGGGACACTGGGACACTAACCCACTGACCCGGGACACTTGATTGCTTGCATGATGTATATTACATGTATCTACTTCTACACCAAACACTGGGACAGTCGGTCACTGGGACACTGGGACACTGACCAACTGACCCAGGACACTGGCCCACCAACCCGGGACACTTGATTGCTTGCATGATGTATATTGCATGTATCTACTTCTACACCAAACACTGGGACAGTGGGTCACTGGGACACTGGGACACTAACCAACTGACCCGGGACACTGGCCCACCAACCCGGGACACTTGATTGCTTGCAAACTGGGAAAGTGGGTCACTGGGACACTGGGACACTGACCTGGGACACTAACCAACTGACCCGGGACACTGACGCACTGACCCGGGACACTGACGCACTGACCCGAGACACTTGATTGCTTGCATGATGCATATTACATGTATCTACTTCTACAAGAACCACTGGGACAGTGGTTCACTGGGACACTGGGACACTGACCCACTGACCCGGGACACTTGATTGCTTGCATGATGTATGTAACATGTCCCAGTGACCCACTGTCCCAGTGGTTGTTGTAGAGGTAGATACATTATATCATGTACACCATGCAAAGAATCAAGGAAAGCAATAAATCCCTGTACTTTGTGATATAGAATCATAATAACATATTCAGCACCAGAGAGAAAATTTGTCTAGGAGGAAAAATACAATCAAAGAATAGTGAGTTTGGTGCCTTGCAACACCAAGAAACAGCCTAAAAACTAATCATGCATATTATGCACAGGTGCAAGGGCAAATGGCCATAACTGGAGCACCCTGTGTGACTTTAAATATAAAGTTTCATGAATTCAAACTGAAGCTATATCAAAAATACTGTAGACATGACATGTACAGAAATATATAAACCTAACATGACTCATTATTATAATCTTGCGTTGTGGTCTAAAAGCCACCTACAGCATATGTGATGCATGTTCAAATGCAGAAAACACTAGTAGATCATCTCTTATCGTTCCCCGGAAATCAGTATCAAAAGACACTCTTTCAATATTGATTCTCCTTTGAAAGATCAAACAGTTATCCACAAAAATAATGTGAGTATAGTGTTATGACAGCTCCTGACAAAACACATGCATGGAAATTTGATTTGACTCATATTGGCTAAGGAAAATTACTAGTTACAAAATTGTGAATATAGATAGACACAGTACTATCCACCCACCGATTTGTGTAAAATTATGCAACACATGCAAACCTAATTACTGAAGACAAAAGTCAAATTTAGAAATGGTGCTGATGCAAGTACTAATACTTTTTAAAATGTTGATCAGCAAAATTTCTACTTGTTTCATGCAAAGCATTTTGCATTTCACTTGCCAAGTTTTTTATCTCTAAAACATTTGAACACAAACTTACATTAAAATATATAGCTAGTTCTTTGCTTTTCTATTAAAATATTACTCGATTCATT